CATGAAAGGCCTTCGCAAAGGACCCAGGCAGCGCTTCTCGCAGCCAGAGCAAACCGACTGAAAGCATATACAGCAACAGCCACCACAAAAAAACACGATGAAAAATCAGCAGAAACCAGCAGTGACCAGGGCACACTTCACTACAGCCAGGAAGCCCCTGTAGAAGAACGGGAGGAGATGCAATCAGCATCTGCAGATGATGAGGAAGACGATGAAGCAGCAGCAACAGAGCATGATTGCAGCGAGGACGAAGCTGCACTTACACAAGCTGAGCAGCATGCACAGCAAGCACTGTCAAAGCAAGCGTCAAAGCAAGCAACAGTTCTAGCAAAAGCAACAACAGCTCGTCCTGACCCGGCAGACCTGGAAACTCAGCCCCTGGGAGTTTCACCAGGTGAGACTGGTGCAATCCATGGTGAACAGGCAATTTCGAGTGAGGAGGAATTCCAAGACCCAAAAGGCCGAACAGTTGTCAAGGGCACTTTTAAGGACTGACTACTGCACCGCATGATACGTTCGATACATTTTTGGGAACATTTGATTTGTTAGGACCGGAAGCCTTTGATCACTAATCCTGCACAAGTCGCCGATCGACAAGCTCTCGATGCTGTAATCCAGAACATGCAGCATGAGCCCAAAGATATTGACAAAGACCTTCTGAAGGTGAGGTCACAATCTGTACATGTACAAAAAAATTATGCGTATACATGTATCCGAATTTGCTTTTGGGAGGCCCAGGGAAAGGCTCGGAAGTCCATGGAACATGGGCCTGAGGAGGATCAGGACCAGGATCTGGAGAAAGGCGGTCGCGGGAGAGGACGTGGCCGGGGCAGGGGAAAGGGCCGGGGCAAAGGCCGTGGCCAGGCAGTGTGCCCTCCGAAGGAGTGCAGTCAGGACCAGAGAACATCCTGCCCTCCAAACGTCGATCATGTTGAACGAAATGTGAAAAGGAACCTTCTCCCAGAGTTTGAAGGTGCGGCCAGTGCAGCCGATGTGGCTGACTCACCTGCAACCCCAGCACCTAGGTCCACTGAACCACAGTCGAGGAAAAGGAGTGGTGAGAAGATTGAGAACCCAGGGAAGACTCGCAAACAGGTTCAGGAGGAGAACCCAGGGAAGACTCGCAAACAGGTTCAGGAGCCAGTCAGGAAAAGGAAACGTTCAGGTGGGGAGACCACTGAATGCGAAGCCAGAAGCCCGATCATGGACTGCACGAATACAGTGGAGGTGCGCAGTGTGGAGGTGTAGTGGTAAAATATGGTAGAATACTATAGTGCCTGGCCCATAGCTGTACAGGTCCTTTGCTTCATCAAGAAGATCAACTTGCCTTTCCTTGAGATTCCCGCGTCCTTGATCAACCCATGCTCACAGCAATCGCTACAGCCTCAAACCATCCCCAAATAGTCCTGAGCCTCAACTGTCATTGACTCAGGTGTCTCAGTACCAAGCCGCCAAAAGGCAGCGATCCAGGATGCAAGTCCATTCAGCTTCTCTATTCACCGTGACTTTTCTTGACTTTTGGGACCAACATGTCAAGTGGTGGATTTTTTCATGAACTGTTTATTGAATGCTCGATCAAGAAGCTGTGCACTCCTGGTGTGCTGAGGCGCATCTTGTCCTTCTATGTTATGCATGTTCCAAATGACAAGTGTACCAGGGAGGTCCATGATTGGGGCCTGAAGGTCGGTAAGAAGAATGGCGTGACGGTGAATATCAAGAGGTTTGGTTTGAAACAAGCGCCAATTGGCTGCGTTATTATATTTCCAGTTGTTTGTTTGTGATATTGTTGCTTGCGTATACTGGCTCCCAAGCCCGCACTGGCCCAGGTGGCGCCTCTCACGGACTTTCGCAGGGTGGCCGATGGCTGTCAACCAGCCTGGGCCGGTCGCAGTGTGAAAGAGATTTTAATTTTGGGGGCTGAGTTGAATGCAGGTTGCGACAGGTTAAGTGATCCAATATAGTGCACTAAATCGATCCATTTGGTTTTTCGACTTTAAATTTATATAATCTTCTTTCGAGTCTTCAACTGCATTTAGCTCTGTGTGTGACTTGAAAGTCACAAGTCATGCCTGTCACTGCCTTTCCTATAGCTGACTGAGTAATCAAGTCTGGGAAAGCTTTAGATAAGTCGAACTTTTGGGGTTGGGGAATCCCATGCCCTGGAAATTGGATCCGGGCATGGATTGCGCGGGAGTTCCTGTGCAGGTGGAAAAGCGCATCAATCGTAAATTTCAATCCCTAGAACGAACATGTTTGAGCTCGAGTCTACTTCGTACACATAGCACATGTCCGCAAAACATATAGTCAAATCTGCCTCAAGCTGGGTTTTGGGGGTTGTAGGGCTTGCGTTGCAAGCATGATGACAGAGCATCAGCTTGCCCTGTCCACTCGCTCTCACATGCTTCTTATGAAGCTGGGTGCACCTTTGATCCTGCTGGAGCCTCAAAAGTACTGTTTGAATCTGTTTGATGTCCCTCATTCATTCCACTTGACATCCCACTGACAATTTCTTTTCCTGGGGCTGCCCACAGCTGAAGGATTCACTTGATGGATTTTGTCACCCAAAACACGGACCCTTCTTTGCCTGAAAACCAAAGAGCAGGGAGCCTAACGCCTATATACGTACTCTTGGCCATGCATGTATAGCGGAATGGCCACTTACCAAGAACCTGGACGTCTTTGAAGTTTTCAGTGGCTGTTCGCAGATCCACAAATGTGCCTGTCGGTCCCTCAAAGTGGGTGGACAACCTGACAACCTATCAGCTTTCCAACTCGGCCTCAGGCTCTGCAGGGCTGAAGAGGTGGGGCCACTTCGCAGAGTTTGAAGAATTTAGGGTGAAAGCTATGGGGTGGTCATGAAATAGACTTCTTTGCTCAGTGACTATTTCGATTGGGACTCTGGCCGTGGCGAGTTGAACAACATTGCAACACCGCTAAAACCTCAGCTTTCCAAAATCCTCACCTTATTAATAAGTAAAACTGGTTTGTTTGTGCATGCGCTCAGGGCTGGAATGGTATATGCGCTGCGCCAAACCATGAGACTCAAAGAGTCATCAGGTTTATTATGGGGAGGTGTACCCTGTTCTTTGCTGATCTGGATCAGTATGGGGACAAGCCTGAGGCATCTCTATGTACCTATGGGTGACCCAAACAGTGAAAGTGTACGTCTTTCAAACCTTTGCCTCACCAGGTTTTGTTTACTAGCCCTGGTAGCTGTTTCTCGCTGCTGCTACTGGGCAGCAGAGCAACCACTCTCGAGCGTTCTCAAGAACATACCTTGCTACCACGACATCCTTCACATTCCTGGCCTGAAGAGTCTGATGACGCGATTGCCCGAGGCTTACCATGCAGCTTCGAAAACCTTGGATTGGTTACCGGTGTTTTTGACCATATACTGGATTCCCCCCAATCAATCCTGGATGAGCTTTCTCCGAGTTACATGGGCAGCTATGGCCACTTTGCTGTGAAGGGGACCTATGTCATTGGAACATGGAACGGGCCCCAACTTATATGATCAGTTTGCATGGATGGATGCATGCATGCATGTAGATCACACTTCCTTGCCAATCCTCGAGGCCTGGTGTGGGATACTTATGGAAGCATATGTCATTTGCTCAAAGGCAGGCGATCAAATTGCAGCAGGAGAGACAAAACATTGTTTTGGTCCGGAAAGACAACTCCAAGCAAGACCCATCCAAGAAGTCTGTGAATCTTGTTTGCACCTGACACCGGTTGTTTTGCAGAACCCTAAGAAATACTCGACCAGATTCCTTTAGCCACTTAGGAGTGGAGGCCCGGACCTCAAGAGAAGCCAGGAATACCCTCGACCGTTTGCCAAACGAGTCATCAAATTGCAGCGTATGGTGAAGGCAGGGTTTATTTCCGATTGCAAGATTCGAGATTTTGTTCAAAAGCCAATCGACCATTTGATGCCAGTTCTTGGTGGCCCATGTATATATATTGGGGTGAGAAGGCCACTAAGTAATTGGTCGATGGGTTCATGTGGCTAAAGGCTCGCAAGTTCCCCAAAGCACCACGTCTTGAACCTGAAGAGATCACGAACGAGGCCCCCGGCATGATCTCCATGTGTTCGATCAGCTGGATTCGATCTGCCTCCGTGCCAGGCAGCTTCGAATTCTACTTTTGATTGGGCAACTTATGCTGACCTCCACTCTGTTTACCGATTCCTGCGAGCTAGAGTTGAAGATCGAAGTTATATTCCACACTTTGAGTTGTCTTCACCATAGATGTGTGGATTTGCAAATTAGTTTCCGTTTCCACTCTGAATCATGATTGTTCGAACATTATACGTATCCAAAAGACACGGACAATCGGCTAAAGAGTCTTGCACTAGAGAGTGGAATTGCAATCAAATTCACAGTCAGACTTTGGATAACTCGTGGAGCAAAACAGATTTTGGAAAAAATCACTCGCCCGTACTTTCGCATGCATTGACCGTACTTTCGCAAGAAAACACCGCAGAATCACAGGTATTGACCGCAGAATCGCATTTAGGTGTTTGGCTCATTTTGATCGAACGATCGTATATTCTCGCATTTTGCGGATACGGATATGGTTAGCCCACCAGCCAGTGCGTTGGACCCCCAGCTTTGAATTCCGTGGTGCGCCTGAATTCCCACAAGCTGCCTGGTGTGGATCTGTCATGCCAACCAGGTCCAAGGGCTGCCAAACATCAGGTCCTGCAAAGTCTGCGCTGACTCGCAACGGCCCTAGCGCTAGATATCGTAAACTATACATACATGTACGCGTACAGTCGACGGGATCCGGATAAGGTCGACGGGCAAAATCATCGGATATTGTGGTCTCCAGCAGTGAAGACCTTTTTGCCGGTGGCCCTGGTCTGATCTGGGATCCAACATGGACTGATGCTCAACCAAGAGAGTCACCAGGGGGAGCATTTGATGATACACTAGTTGATGAGCATGAGGAGCATTCAAATTCCAGGAAGTCAAAAACATCGCCTGCGGATGGACATGAAGGACTGGAGGATGAGGTGGCCAAGAAGAAGCGAGAGTCGTCGCCAAAGGATAGACCTGAGGCTGAGGTGGCCAAGAAGAAGCGAGAGTCGCCAAAGGATGGACCTGAGGCTGAGGTGGCCAAGAAGAAGCGAGAGTCGCCAAAGGATGGACCTGAGGCTGAGTCCAAGAAGAAGCGAGAGTCAACCAAGACAGACGAACAAAAGAGTGCCAAGCGTCGAGGACCTGGAGAAGATGCAGCAATCCCCAGGAACCCTCGGGCTTCATCATCCAAAGAACACAAAAAGAATGCTGAGAAGTCTGAGAAAGCTGCTGCCCCCAAGGCTTCGACTCGCAAGCCCAGTGGTGGTGAAGACAAGAGCAAAAGGTCAAATGGAGACCTGTCAGAGCTTCAGAAGAGGTCACGCCAGGCTGCAAAGGAGGGCAAGGCAGCCATGGAAGCAATGACCCAACAGACGCCTCAGCCTAACCCTCCTGCACAGGCTCCAGTGCGCTGGTCTTGGTGGGACAGCAAATGGTGGTTTGATGCTGGCATGGGATGGCAAGAGCATGTGCAAGACTCCCATGACAAACGAGCTGCGGAAGCTGCGCTTCGACGGAAGCCAACACAGGTTCAACCTCAAGATGGCTGCGATGCATCTGAGGAGGAGCTGGGCGAGGACCAGACTGAGAGCCGGCAAGGCCACTATGTCCGATTCATGCACAGTCTCAAAAGCCAGACACCTAGAACATGTACATGATATATGACAGGCCCCATATCAGTCCTGTAGCTACGATCATTTTTATACGCCAAGGCCGTTGCACTCCGGAATGCATCAAGAAGGCGTACCGGAAAGCTCGAGCGAGTGCATCCCTCATCATCTTGTTTTCCAAGAAAGGCCAACAGACTCCAAAATGCATTTTTTGGGGTGGCCTTTCTTATGGTTTTAGAAAGTCTTTGGGACCCAAAAAAAGCCACCCCTTAAAAAGCCTTTTGGGAACTGTTGCCTCCTGTTGGTTGTTTGCGAGTCCAGCATTCCAATTATCCATGTTTTCTATTTAATTTCAATGAGGCAAAGACCATACAGCTACAGCAGATTTGCTGGAGGACTTCTTTCTTTGCAAGGGGAGGTGGAAGCGATCTCGCACATACAGCCGGATCACGCACAAGTCGCGCAGCAAGAGATCACTGCGCAAAGTGTGGCGTACCCGTGCACAGCTGCTCAAACAGTAGCTTGACAAAAATATTTACCTGCAATAATAATGCCAGAACGTTGGACTCATTAGGGCCGGCACTCACTCATGCATGACATATACCCAGTCCTTTCAGCAGCGCCAGGTTTGACAATGACCATGAGCTGGTCAACTCACTCATCGAGTCAAAAATCGCCTCCGGCCAGTGGAAGGAACACCCCGAGTTTCCCGGCCGAGAGGACCCTCAACTATTGGGGCAATTCGATTGTTTCCACGACGCTATGCAAAAACACTTCAAAATTAAACTGCTATTGAACTCATGATCATATCTATATAGTTAATCGACCTCAAGCCTTAAAGCTTGTTACTTCCAGGACATGATTCTCTATAAGGTCTATGATGAGGAGTCCGAGATCGAGGAGTCCGAGGACGAGAAGGTGGATGGAGCTGAGCACGAGAACCAAATTGCAAATTAAATCTGTGCAAGCGCATTCCAAAATCTAACTTAATAGAAATCAGTGAAATGGAGGATGGCAAAATCATGATCCCAATGGCCAATGCTTCATGCGCCTGCCCCTTCCTTTGCTGCAAGGATTCGGAGAGTGACCTTTCCGACGACGATGGTGGCGATGACAAGGGTGACAAGGGGTCTGCAGCGCTACTTGGCATGAATAAAGACTGTGCAATAGCAGGTATGTTGGGTTCAAGATTATTCAATTGCAAGGCTTCTTTATCAAGCATTTGTGGAGCCTACATCTATACTACCGTGTAAACATTCAGGGCTGGACGGAAGAAGAAGAGTAAGAAGCGCCCTGTGACTGTGAGCATCGACAAGAAGGAGGACCCGCCGGCCAAGCAGAAAAAGAAGGTGCATGGATCATGGATGTGCGTGGTACCATACCCTCAAAATGCCAACATGTTGACAGTGTTTACAGCGTCCAATGGCACACTCCCCATCTCTGTGTGCAGGCCTTGACATCGATTGCCTCGGCAGCTGCAGAAGTTGGCACCTTCCGGGGACAGTTGGAAAAGGAGGGAGTGCGCCTGGTTTGCAAATCTATATTAGCTATAGGTGGCTGTGCATCCAGGGATTGTGCAAAATCTTTCTTTTTTGCCCAGTCCAAGGGGTGCACAGCTGATCGATGCCCTGGTTCACAACGCAGAGCTTGTTTCGAACAACCTCAAGAGTATGCGAGATGGCCTTGAGGGCACCGATGAAGATGCCCAGGCTTGGCCTTGGGATCCGGAGAGGCTTCACAAAGCTAGCAGCGCTTAAAAAACATGTGTACATGTGCAAATGTGAAGTCTAGACTTTCCATGCATTCCCCCAAAATCTCATGTGGACTTGAGCTCAATTCATGCAGTTGACTCGTTTGATTGAAATCTTTGAAGGTCTTGGAGTATTGCAAGGATGTCGAGGCTGCCCTCAAGAAGTACAGGTCGGCCAAAAAGGCTATTTCGATGCACGTGGCTACTTCATCGCAATTTAGTGATGATCTTGCTGTCTACTCAATATATCTAGGCTCCAAACTCTTGCAATCCATGGGTTGGTCAGCAACCTGCACGGTCAGTTTATGCTGGGTTTTGCCCAAGGCTCCAAAGGCAAAAGCCAAGGCAAAAGCCGCGGCCACAAAGTGAAGCGTTTTGGGGAAGAACACTAGCTCATTTGCTACTCGTAGCTGGCGCAGTGTTTCTAGATTTGGGAGAGCTAGACCAGGATCAGGCCTAAGCTTTAAAGGTTCCATGTTTGGATCTTGCAAAAAATGCATGAACTTCAAAGTGCGCTGTTTGAGCCTGGACTTGGCCCTTTCCCAGCTTTTTGGGGGGCTGTATCAGTGAAAGCACATGATACAAATAGCACATCTTAGCTTGGAACATGACAGCGCCTGATTGCAGCTTTGAATCGGGATCAAAAGGTTTTCACTTCAAACTGAACAATTTGACTAGTTTGCTGCTCCAATCGACCGCAACTTCGACCGCAATAAACCCAGCCTGCAGTGCAGAGTGACTTCCGCTCCAGGTACTTCTGCGCCTGCACCATTTCATGACCATCTTGAAGATACAGTGGGTGGGGGGGGTGTCGTCCTTATGATATTGATTCAAGCAGTTCATAGCTCACCGAGTGCATGTTTGGTTTGTGTCGCTAGGCAAGTGTAGCTTCAGCTATTACCTCCGCCCAGAAAGCCAATGAGGCGAGATTCCGTTTGCAAACTTGCATGCATATGGTAGTGCATGTGTATGTGCATATGCAACTGCAAATGACTTTGCCGTTTGTCCCGCTCGCTTGCTTGCTTTCGAGTTGCCAGGAGGTCCACCTACATGGCTCTGGCAAGCTGAGTGGGGCAACCAAAAGGCTACCCTCAAGATCCTGGAAGCTTGTTTTGGGAAGCTAGTTTTGGGAAGC